CCCGGCTGCTCCACTGCCCATCCAGCTCTCTGCTATAGCCTGGGAAAGCAGTAGAAGATGGTCCAAGTCCTTGGGCCCCTGCTCCAGTGTGGGAGATCCAGAAGAAACTCCTGGCTCCTGGTGTTGGATTGGCACAGCTTCAGCCATTGCGGCCATCTGGGGAGTGAACCAGTGGATGGAAGACCTCTCTCTTTCTCTGCTTCTCCTTCTGTGTAACTCTGACTTTAGAGTAAATAAATAAATTCTTAAAAAACGAACAAACAAACAGATGCATACACCAGAAATAAACCCACATCTACAGCCAATGAATTCTCCACAAAGGCATTTGAAGCATACACTGGAGAAAAGCCAGCCTTTTCAATACGTGCTGTTGGGAGAATAGTGTATTCCTATGCAGAAGATTGAAGCTTGACTCCCCCCACCTCACATACTATTAGACTAAATGATCAAAGACCTAAATGCAAGACCTGAAATTATGAAACGAGAAGAAAACACAAGGGAAACACTTTGAGGCATCAGTATAAGCAATGGTTTTTGGATAAGATTCCAAAGCACATGCAAAAATACACAAATGAGATGATAGCAAACCGAAAAGCTTCTGCATAGCAAAGCAAACAATCAACGGAGTGAAGACACAGCAGACAGAATGGGAGTAAACACCGACAAGCTGCATCCGAGAGAGGGCTGATGCCTGGAACATAGAAGAACTAAAAGCTCAAAAATAAAAAATGCAACTTTAAATGGGCAAACGATACATTTCTCAAAAGAGGAGCTACAAATGACTGACAAACATATGAAAAAATGCTCAGTCTCATTCATCATAAGGGAAATGCAAATCAAAACCACAATGAGATGTCATCTCTCCCTAGACGGAATGACTATTACAAAAAAGAAAAGAAAAGAAAAAAAAAGAACGCTGGTGAGGATTAGAGAAAAGGGAACAATTTCACACTGTTGGTGGCAATGTAAATTAGCATAGCTATTATGGAGAACAGAGTGGAAGCTCCCTAAAAAGACTAAAAATAGATCCACCATATGATGTAGCTATCCAGCTTCTCATTAACTCGTATATCCAAAGTAAATGAAATCAACATATCAAAGAGATACCTTCATTCCCATCTTCTTGTAGCACTTGTCATAACAGCCGGTATTATGGGATCAACCTGTATGTCTATGGTGAAAGGATACAGCAAATGGGAGTATATACACAATGTAATATTATTCAGCCATAAAGAAGAACAAAAATCCTGTCACTTGCAGCAAAATGGGTGGAACTGAAGGAAAATTATTTTAAATAAACCAGACACAGCTAAACAAATATCACATGTTGTTTTTCATAAGTGGAAGCTAAAAAGATTGATCTGTATGTAGAAGAGTGATTACTGGAGCCTGGGTATGGGGGGGGGGTGCAGGCAGCAGGAGGAGAGAGGGAGGTTGGGTAATGGGTACCAAAACACAGTTAGGGAAAAGGAACACATTCTAGTGTTCCACAGCACAGTAGGATGACCATCGTTCATACCAGCTACCTCGAATTTTGTGAAGAACTAGAAGAGAGGAACTGGCAGCCCCCAAACAGGAAGAAATGATAAAGCGATCAGGCAGCTGTCGGTTAGCAGGTCAGACGCTGCTTGGGATTCCTGCACAGCATGTTGGGTGCCTGGGTTCAAGTCCTGGCTCCACTCCTGATTCTGGCTTCTTGCTGATGTGTACCTTGAAGGCAGCAGGTGATGGCTCAAGTAGTTAGATCCCTGACCCCCATATGGGAGACCCAGATTGAGTTCATGGCTTCTAGCTTTGGCTTGGCCCAGATCTAGATGTTGGGGCATTTGAGTAGGGAACCAGCAGACAGATTTCCCTCTCTCCCACCCTCTGTCTCTCTGCCTCCAAAAATAAATAAATATTTAAAGAAAGAAGAAATGGTAACAGAATGGAAATGTTAGTCACCCAAATTTGATCAGTATGTGCTGTATATACATGTGTTGAAATATTACACTGCATACCATAAAAATGTGCATGGTAATAAAAATAAGAACACAGTAATCAAGTTAGTGTTGAACTGTTATAAATAGAACTGATCAGTGAGGCCACACAGGATTTTTGAGTCAGATGGTAAATTGATTCAATGAGAGGACTGATAGTCTGTTTAGCAAATGGTGCTTGAACCACTCATTTTGTGAACAAAATAAGCTACACTCTAAACTTCCTCCACATACAGTAATTAATTTGACATGAATCATAGACCTGACATTAGATGCCACCACTCTGAAACTTTTGAAAGAAAACGCAGGAAAATGTCTTTGGGACTTTGGGGTAAACAAAGATTCGACATGGCACAGAAAGCAGTGGTTGTAAGAGCACAAAACTGAAAAATTCCTCTTTGTCAAAATTAACATTTTAATAAATGTTTATTAAAATATTATTACTAAATAAATATTTATTAAAATATTATTATATAATATTTATTTATTTATTTGAAAGTCAGAGTTACACAGAGAGAGGAGAGGCAGAGAGAGAGAGAGAGAGAGAGAGAGGGAGAGGTCTTCTGTTTGATGGTTCACTCCCCAGTTGGCTGCAACGGCCAGAGCTGTGCCAGTCCGAAACCAGGAGCTTCTTCCGGGTCTCCCACATGGGTGCAGGGGCCCAAGGACTTTCGGCCATTCTCCACTGCTTTCCCAGGCCACAGCAGAGAGCTGGATCAGAAGTGGAGCAGATGGTCGGTGCCGCGGCTCACTAGGCTAATCCTCCGCCTTGCGGTGCCGGCACACCGGGTTCTAGTCCCGGTCGGGGTGCCGGATTCTGTCCCTGTTGCCCCTCTTCCAGGCCAGCTCTCTGCTGTGGCCAGGGAGTGCAGTGGAGGATGGCCCAAGTGCTTGGGCCCTGCACCCCATGGGAGACCAGGATAAGTACCTGGCTCCTGCCATCGGATCAGTGCGGTGCGCCGGCCGCGGCACGCCGGCCACGGCGGCCATTGGAGGGTGAACCAATGGCAAAGGAAGACCTTTCTCACTGTCTTTCTCTCACTGTCCACTCTGCCTGTCAAAAAAATTAAAAAAAAAAAAGAAAGAAAAAAAAAAAGAAGTGGAGCAGCTAGTTCCTGAACCCGCGCCCATATGGGATGCTGGCACCTCAGGCCAGGGCATTAACTGACTGTGCCACAGCGCCGGCCCCACAGCTGGGTTTTTAAAAAGATTTATTTTGAAAGTCAGAATTACAGAGAGGGAGAGAGACGAGAGATCTTCCATTGGCTGATTCACTCACCACATGGCCACAATGGCCAGGGCTGAGCCAGGCCACAACCAGGAGCCAGGAGCCAGGAGCTTCTTCTGAGTCTCCTAGGTGGGTGGCAGGTGCCCAAAGACAGCAGTGGAGGATGGCCCAAGTGCTTGGGCCCTGCACCCCATGGGAAACCAGGAGAAGCACCTGGCTCCTGGCTTCAGATCAGTGCGGTACGCCGGCCGCAGGGGCCATTGGGGGGTGAACCAATGGAAAAAGGAAGACCTTTCTCTCTGTCTCTCTCTCTCTCTCACTGTGCACTCTGTCTGTCAAAAAAAAAAAAAAAGGCCGTGTCTCAAATCGGGGTGCTGGGGTCAGTTACCCAGTGCAGTTTCTAATGCAGATCCTGGGAGGCTGTTGGGTCCTTGGTACCCACATGGGAGACCTGGATTGAATTTTGGTCTCTGCCTCAGCTGGTCCCAGCTTCAGCTATTGAGGGCATTTCTCTCTCTCTCTCTCTCTCTCTCTCTGGACAGGACACACGTGGCCATGCTGTCCTGTTCTCAAATAAATGTTTAAAAATTAGACACAAATATACTGTGTTGAACCAAAGTAGCCAGGCACATATGCACACATGCCATGGAATTCAATTTATGTGAACTTCTAGGAGAGGAGAGGGAAGCTTCTTTGATAGGGATTGGATGAGTGGTTGTCTGGGGTGGGGGTGCGGATTGACAGCAAAGGGGCATGCAGGGCTTTCTGGGGTGAAGGAGATGATGTGTGCCTTGGTTACAGTGTAGTTACACCGGTCCACACCCGCACACTGAGCCATGGCCCTTGAAATCAGTGCTCTGCGCTGGATGCAAATCATACTTCCATAAAGCTAATATTTTAAAATGTCACCTCTGTGTGGTTGGTGATGAGTTAGTTAAAAGTGTTTGCCAATAAAGCAGGGGTTAGCCTGGCAGTTAAAATAGCCATGTGTCATATCAGAGTGCCTGAGTTTGATTTGTGGCTCTGGCTCCTGGTGCCAGCTTCATGCTAATACAGACCTTGGGAGGCAGTGGGGGATGGGTCAAGTGGTTGGCCACTCATGGCGGAGACCTGGATGCAGTTCTTGGATACCAGCTTTGGCCCTTACCAACCCCCAGCCATGGTGGACATTTGGGAGTGAGCCAGCAGATGGCACATCTTTATCTATCTCCCTCTCTCTCTCTCAAATAAATAAAATAATTTAAAACTGGTTGCTGATATCTCGAATGGCCAAAGGTCCCTGTGCCAGCATCATGCATGTAGTCTTGTTCTCCTTGGCTGGAGATGATTTGCACAGGTAATCTAGTTCCTCTCTCATAACAGAATTCTTAATTATGGACCAAGGAGCATTTTTTCTGTTCTTGTAAACAAACAAACATTCACATGGAAGGACTTCAAAAATCTGTTCATCAATGACTCTCTTCTCTGTAGCAGGCTTTGCTTTGAGTCTAACTTAAATGTCTCATGCTGTGTTGCACTGATTTTTTTTTTCTTTTGCTCTGGTAAACTGGAGCTTGCTGTGGTCTGGGCATGAGTTTCTCTGCTGCTGAGACAAAAGCTGGCAGAGTTAGGAGAGACGCGGGTGGTGCCGTCCCCGCTGCCCCGCCATGCTCCTCTGCGGCTCTGCCTATGCCGTCATTGAGACCCATTGAGACCACCTCGGCTGGGGTGGGCAGGCGCCCGTGACCCCGGCGACCTCCCAGGGGCCTCGCATGCATTGACCCTGCCTTTGCTTTCTTCCCCCTTCCCCCCAGGAAATGCTAAAGGACGAGGTGCGGACTCTCACTTACCGTAACTCCATGTACCACAACAAGCATGTGTTCAAGGACAAGGTGGTGCTGGACGTGGGCAGTGGTACCGGCATCCTGTCCATGTTCGCTGCCAAAGCCGGGGCCAAGAAGGTGTTCGGGGTGAGCACCGCCCTCCCTCCTCTCCCTGCGCCGTCCCGTTCCGGAGCTTCTGCGGAGCCCATCCCTTGCCCTCTCGCAGACCCCGCTCCTGTTTTGGGGGAGCCACCCTTTCAGGGGGCAGCCGGGAAGATCAGGTGTGACCCTCCGGGGGCAGGGCAGGCCCCCGTCACCAAGGCTGTGTTTCTGGCTCCTTGCCCTGGCCGCTGCTGATGCTGGTGGACGAAATGTGCCTTTTCTCAGGCCCCGCTGGTGTCGTCGTCAGCTCTTGGTGCTGAGTCTCTCTGTGAGCTGGAGGAGTGGCACGGTGCGGTTACGTGCACAGGGGCTCTGGTTTGAATCACTCCTCTTTCACGCACTGCATGGAGAAGTCACCTCTCTGCACCCCAAGTCCCCATGTGTAAGATGGGCACCGTGAGAGTTTCTCGCCCAGAGGCCGAGGGGAGGGTCATGGATGAGTTTCTCACAGTGGAAGCACTTAGGACAGCGCCCAGCCTGTGGCACAGGTGCATGCCTTTATGTCAGGGTTGAGGTGGGACCCCGGGAGGCAGCAGAGACCCCTCCTCCTTTCTCTGAAGGACAAGTGAGTCAGTTTACCCACGATTTGGGCCAAAAGGTGGAGAAGCCACCAGGGCGTGGATGTCGATCTGCCACTTTGGCTGCCACCGCTCTGCAGGCCAGAGGTGAAGCTGAGCTCCCTGGAAACCTCGCTCTGCCCCGCCTCAGCCCCTCGCAGCCGCATGGCCTGGCCGCAGAGTGGCTGGGCGTGTCCCAGGCTGGAAGGACACTATATGGGAAAGAAGGGCCCGGGGGGCTGCTGGCTGGCATTGGGAAAGAGGAGAGGGCCTCCAGCTGGGTCCTGCTGGCAGTCAGACAACACCCAGACTCCCAGAGGGCCCGCGGGAGGGGGCTGTGGGGCGACCAGAGTGGCATTCGGGGCTCCTCCTTCTCGGGTCATCCCGTAGCCTACCCGGGCCCTCCTGCCCCCTGCAGGAACAGCCTGTGGGGGTGGGGTGGGGGACACACATGGCCATGCTGTCCTGTTCTGCAGAACCTGGGTGGTTCTCAAGATGTCCTAGGTGTGTGATGGCCACGGCCAGTGAAACCAGCCCCTGGACCTCCCAGGCTCCTTTGCAAGTCCTCCCAAAGGACGGCTTCACTCACAAGGTCACAGGGCACCACAGTTGCACCTGGGGCCATGGGGTGACCCCCCCACTGGCCTTCTCTGTGGGGGTTGAGGCCCCGTGGTGGTGGGGCTCAGGGCCGAGCAGGGAAAGGCAGTGCCACTGGTCCCTGGCTCCTGAGTGGTTGGGGGCTGCAGCCACGGAGCTGTCAGGAGGCACCACGGGCATCCAGCTGTGGGCACTTGGCACCAGCGGTCTGCCTCCTGCCCCTTCCTCTTAACAGCTCAGCTCTAAGCAGTGCTGCCACATCGGCCTCTCCTGATGGCCCATTTCACAGGTCCTCCTGTTCCATGCACCCCGAGCCCCGGCCTCCCCTGCTCTTCTGCAAGGAAGGGGGAGGCTGGGGGAGAGGCAGGGAGACAGACAGGAGGACAGAGAGAGACAGGGAGAGGAGGGGCAGCCAGCCAGAGATGGGAGAGAGGCCGGAGGGGAGAAAGGGGAGAGATGGAGGGGGCGGGGGGGAGGCAGAGAGGGAGACCCCGTCAGAGTTAGAGGGTGACGACATCTCCAACGCGATGGGCAAAACGAGACGGAATGCTGGAAAGATGCAGAGGACAGTTAGAAAACGGAGAAGAAAACAAAGCCAAAGTAGCAGACAGAAGGGGGAAGTGAGGAGATGAGAGAGAGAGAGAGAGAGAGAGAGAGAGAGAGAGAAGAGGGCAGGAAAGGAAAAGAGAAGGGAGGAGGAAGAGGGAGGGCAGCTGTGACGGCGACAGGTGCACCACCTCATCTCACCCTCGCCACACGCACAGGCTTGGTGACACGGTGGCAGAGCCACATGCGGTCAGGCTGCCACGCTGAAGGCACTCGTGTCTTGCAGACCTGCTGATGTGGCAGGAGAGGAGGAGAGGAGAGATGCACAGTCCTTCAGACAGGGGCCCAGGTAGGGGTGGTCCCTTGTGGGGCTGGAGCTCTTGCCGGGGCTGCCCCCCTAGCTGCTGCTTTAACAACAGTGACCCGTTTCTGACCCCATGGGTGCTTGCACCTATTCTCAAGGCGCTGATGGAGGCAGTTGGCAACCACTACTTCCCCAGGGGGTGGTCCCCAGGGGTGGTCTGAGCTGGGACTCTCAGACTGCAGTGAGTGGGGCCCCACAGCCTTAGCACAGGCCAGCCCGTGTTGGAGAGGCGAGGCTGGCTCTAGGCAGCTTCCCCTCCGTTTCCAGCACTGCTGGCCTCCTCAGCAACACAACCCAGGCCTCCGCCCCCATGGGCTCCTGCTCTCAGCTGACGGGCAACCAACCCCTCAGATGCCTGGGTTCTTTGGGAGACTTGAGGAGCCTGGAGAGACTTGCAGGTGAAAAGGAATGATTCTTCTACAGGTGGAGCCCGCAGGAGGGGTGCGCGAGTGCCTTGTGGGGAGGGGAGGGCTTAGGACTGTTTGGTGCGGTGTGCGGGCGAAGGCGAGGGTGGAGTGAGGATGACGTTCAGGGAGGCTCATGGGTCCTCAGCTGTGCCCTCCCTCTCACACCCTCGCTGGCCTGCCAGGAGGCCGAGGCCTACCAGCTGTCCTGAGTCTCCAGCTCTGGTTCTCCATCTCTTGGCAAAGGCAGTCCCGTCGAGTGCATGGCAGGCGGCCTGGAGTTGGGAAGGCCGGGTGTCCATTTTTGTGCATGACCACGGGCAAGTCCCAGCCCGTCCCTGGGGCCTCTGCTTCTCCGTCCACTCAGCTGTGCCCGACGTGCCGTGAGCCTTGTGTTGACAGCTTGCTCCTTTTTTCTGTGCCCTTCTAGATCGAATGTTCCAGTATTTCCGACTACTCAGAGAAGATTATTAAGGCCAACCACTTGGACAACAGTAAGATGCTCCTCTCGTGCTCTCCCTGGGTGGAAGGCGCCAGGGGCTTGTGCTTTCCCATTTAGGGGGCACCAGACAACCCCCAGCGGGAGGAGTCAGAGACTTGGGCTTGGGGAGGTGGAACACCTGGCTGAGATCCCCCTTTGCAGGCTGTGGCACTGGGCTGCACTTGTCCTGCCCCAGCTGGGGTGACCTGGGGTGACACCTTAGTTGCCCTTGCTTGTCTCTAGCTGGGGGTGACCTGTTAAGTTCTGCACAAGCATGGCTGTCCCTCCCTCCACCTCCACGACCCTCCCCATGAACCCCAGCTCCCCTTCTCCCGTCACCCGCTCAGGGAGGTCCTGGAAGACCCCAGGATTTGGTCCCCCACTGTCCACAGGCCCTGCTACTGAAGGGGCTCCCTGGGCAATTCGGCTGCAGCCTGGTTAAACGAGAGGTGCGTCTCTTTTCCTATGAACTGCGAGTGACATTCCCCAGTCCTTTCTCTCTGGGGCCACCCTTTTTAAAAAAAAAATTATTTATTTATTTAATTTACTTGAAAGGCATAGAGGAGGGGGGAGAGGGGAAACGAGAGAGAGAGAGAGAGAGAGAGAGAGAGAGTGAGAGAGAGAGAGCCCAGCCGCTGGTTCACTCTCCAAATGCCTGCCATAACCAGGGCTGGGCTAGGCCAAAGCCAGGAACCCAGAACTCCATCCAAGTCTCCCATGTGAGTGGCAGGGGCCCAACTCCTTGAACCATCACCTGCTGTGTTCCAAGGTATACATTAGCAGGAGACTAGATTCAAGAGTAGAGCCAAGACTTGAACCCAGGTACTCTGTTACAGGATACACATGTCCCAACCAGAATCTTTGCACAGATGTGCTAAATGTGCGGTCTGTCTTGGATACACTCAGACCCTCAGGGGCCCCTGATCGGAAGGCCCCCCGTGTAGCTTTCCTCCAGCTGCAGGTCCAGGCTCTGTGCTCACTTGGTGCTGGACAGGGGAGCATTGGCACTCTGGGCACCATGCCAGGGAGTCGCAGTGGAGTCAGGGCGAGGCGTGAGCGGCAGGTGATGCAAAGTCACGACACGGGGCCGTGTGTCGAAGCAGGGCTGACAGAGGCAGCAGGATGGAAGCTGCCTGAGGCGGTGGGCCTGGGGAGGGTTAATGCCGGAAGAAAGAGCTCCCAGGCAGAGCGCCGAGGCTGGAAGGGACGGGACTTGGAGGGATTTTTTAAAAATTAATTAATTCATTGATTTGAGACATACAGAGGAGGAGAACTCCCGTCTGCTGGTTCACCCCCCAAATGCCTGCAACAGGGCTGAGGCTGGGAATCAGGAACTCAACGCCTGTCTCCCACATGCAAGGCAGGGACGCAGTTTCTTGGAGTGTCAGCCACGGCCTCCCACGTTGCACATTAGGAGGCTGGAGCTAGATATCAAACCCAGGCACCTCTGGGGGGCTGGGGGAGGGGTCACCAGGCAGGATGCCTGCCCCTTTTGGAGGATTTTAAGCAAGGAAGGAGCTTTCTCCATGGAGAACAGGGAAAAGGCAGGAAAACTGTAACCAGATCCAAGTTAAGAAGCTATTTCAGTGTTCTGGTGAGAGCTGCCGCAGCAGGGACAAGGGTGGTGGCAGTGCAAGTGGACAAATGTGACCACCCTGCCCCCCCCCTCCGGCCCCGGGCTTGGAAATAGAGGCAAGAGGACCTGCTGATGGATTGGACGTGGCGGTGAGAAAAGAGAGGAACGCGGCTAACTGCTTTTGGCTTGAGCAACTAGGTGATGGTGCTTGCCTGGAGGCAGAGGACTCATGGGGATGTCAGGAGCGAGAAAAATCAAGAGCTCTCTTCTGCCCACAGGGCACCCAGGCAGACCTGTGGCGTCAGACTTGATCTGTGCATCCAGAGTTTCAGGTAGAGGCAGAGCAGGAGGCCTGCAGAGTCACCATCGTATAGACAGGGGCTGCGGAGCGTGGGAGGGGGCGTGTGGCCTACTGGTTAAGCTACCAGGTTAAGATGCCTGCATTCTACATGGCACTGCCTACGTTTTTTTTTTTAATTTATTTTTTATTATTTGAAAGACAGTTAGAGAGAGAGAGAGAGAGAGAGAGAGGTTTTCCATTTGCTGGTTCACTCCCCAGTGGTCAAAATGGCCAGAGCTGGGCTGATCCAAAGCTAGGAGCCTGGAGCTTCCTCCAGGTCTCCCATGTGGGTGCAGGAGCCCAAGGACTTGGGCCATCTTCCACTGCTTTCCCAGGCCACAGCAGAGAGCTGGATCAGAAGAGGAGCAGCTGGGGCTCGAACTGGTACCCACATGGGATACTAGCACTGCAGGCCAGAGCTTTAACCCACTGTGCCACAGCGCTGTCCCCTCTGCCTGGGTTTGAGTCCCAGCTCTGCTCCCGATTGGTTCCAGCTTCCTGCTAATGTCCACCCTGAGAGGCAGCAGGTCGTGGCTCAAAGAGTTGAGTCCCCACCCTCACAGGGGAGACTCACATTGAGTTCCCGGCTTCCAGATTTGCCCTGGCCTAGCCCCGGCCGCTGTGGGCATTTGGGGAGTGAACCAGTGGATGGAAAGTGTGTTTCTGTCTTCTGCCTCTCAAGTCAATGAAAGAAAAACATCGTGGGGATGCTATTTAAAGCCACAGGATGAGGCTGCTTTGGGGGATAATGTGCAGCTAGAGGAAAGACATGGGACAAAGAGAGGGCTCTGGGCCATTTCAGCATTTGGAGGTCAGGCAGAGGAGAGGGTGAGAAGACACGTTTGCTGTAGCTGAGGAATGGGGAAGAGAGAGCGCTGCCATTGGCCAAGGGCGGGAGGACGAGGTCAGCCGCTGGGAGTGCTGAGATGGAGTGGGAGAAGAGCAGAGGACAGGCCATTGCATTCGGCCCCGCGGAGGTCAGGGGTGCTCTCAGGAGTGGTCTCAATGTTGGGGTAGGGGGGGAAGTCCAGGGAGAGTCGGTGAAGGAGAGACTGTGCAGTGGGGACCACAGGTGACTCCTGGGGTCAACGCACGGAAGAGTTTTCTGTGTTGTTCTGGTGAGGAGAGGAAGTATGAAAGCGTGGGGGTGTGAGCCAGTGCCCCGGGAGAAGGACAGAGATCCACTGTCCACCCAGGGCAGCCAACAAAGACACGGTGAGGTTCAGAGTGGGAGGGCTCCCAAGCACAGGCAGACGGCGGCCTGTACCTTGGAGGAGGGAGACCCCAATGGCAGTGATGGAGGGAGAGTGGGAGCACAGGCAGGTGGAGGTGGGCCCGTGGTGGGCAGCCTCAGGTTTGCAGCTTCCATTTGCACAGTGAAGAGTGAGACAGTCATTGGCCAAGAAGGGGGAGGGGAACGGAGATGCTGGGGCAGGGGTGGGGGAGGGTGTGGGTGGAGGGAAGGGGGAGGGCATGCTGGGGTGATGAGGATGGCAGGGGAGTGTCCAAGGCTCTTAGCGATGTGGGGACAAGGGCAGGCAGGGAGTCCAGTGGCTTGGATGGATGCCAGTGGAGTGGAAAGGCTGCCTGGCATGAGGCTTTGCTGGGAGGGTGGAGCCACAATCCATGGAAACCGTGGGCCATGCCGTCTATGCTGGATAAGGAGGGAGGTGGGACAGGCGGGGGGCGCTGGGCAGGCAGCAGGTGTGCAGGGGCTGTGAGCAGGGCTGAGGTCCTGAGGCCTGAGAAGGGAACTGCTGCTCGGATCCCCCGACCTCTGGCTGGGCGCCCGGCCCCCTTTGGCTCCGTCAAGGGAACCAGATGTCTTCTGTGTACTCAGAAGAGTGCCTGACCTTGGCAGAGGAGACAGAGGCGACCTCTCAACGTGCCTGCTAAAGATGGAAAAGGCAAACCAGTTGGCTGTTTCTCTGCAAGGGTGAGACAGCCTGGCATTGCCAGCTTGTATCTGACCTCCTTCCCTCCTGCCCTCAAATAGGGCAACTGGTTTCTCCCATTTAACAGAGGTAAAAACTGAGGCTAGGGGAGGCACCTGGCTCACCTCTGGCCTGGGCTCTTGTTCCTGCGTACTTTTCCAAAGTGTGTTTGTGTTGATGTGGAAGTACCATGAGTGCCGCTGGAACTGGAGGAAAAGCCTCTTAGGAGGGTTGGGCGGACACAAATAGAAACACAAACAGTGTCCTATCAGGGCCGCGAGTCCCAGTGTGGAGCCCAAAGGAGGTTCCAGAGAACAATGAGACCACCGCTGCAGGACTTCACTTGCCCAGTGGCTCCTGGCTCTTAGGCTGTGCCCAGCGCCCCCATCCCCATCTCTTTCTTTGTGTCTCTCTCCTTTAAGATCTATTTATTTGTTTATTGATTGTTTGAACAATTGATTGAAAGGCAGAGTGGCAGGGAGGGAGGGAAGCAGAGAGAGAGGATCGATCGTCCATCTGCTGGTTCACTCCTCAAAAGGCCACAAGAGCTGGGGCTGGGCTAGGCAGAAGCCAGGCGCCAGGAGCTTCCTCTGGGTCTCCCTTGTGGGTGCAGGGGCCTGAGCACTTGGCCCTTGCTCCGCTGCTTTCCCAGGCGCATTAGGAGGGAGCTGGATCGCGCTGAGGTGGGGCGTCACAGGCAGCATCTCAACCCACCAGTGCACAACGTGTCTCTCCTGTTGCTGGCTGTCTGGAAATGAGTGTTTACGGCTCAGGAATCCCGGTTTCCCGTGCTCTCTCCTCCTCCAGCTTAACCCCCGCCTGCCGCTGTGCCTGGCAGAGTGGGACAGGCCCCTAGGGGCAGGAGGCTGACACCAGCAGGGGACTCCCCATCCTCCTTGGGAGGAGGAGGTCTGTTTGGCCCTGAGAACCCACAAAGCCCCCTCCTGTCCCCACCCCCCTAGCCCCCCACTTCCTGTCCAGGCCTTGGGGGGCCCCCTCTCCTTCCCTGTTTCACACTCTTGTTTTTTCTGTCTTCTCTCTTCCCCTTCCCTTCGGTTTCCTTTTTCTCTTTAATCCTTGAAACACTTGAAGAAGAGGTGCAAACACCCCAGGTTCTGGCCCCTGAGCCTTCTGAGGGTGAGTCGCTGGTGTGAGGCCCCATC